TCGGCCTGCACATAATGGGTAACGCCAAAGCGTATGCTACAGGAGCGGGGTTGGTTTTTATGTCAGTGTATCTCTGCTACAAGGGCGCTGAACTATCGGTGGAGGCAAAAGATCTCGCACTGAAACACGAGAAGTTTCAGGAGGAGTTCGACTTCCTAGAACAAGAACTGATTCAAATCAGACCTTTCATAGCCACGGACATTGTGCGACAATGGAAAATTGGTAATACTGTTCAACTGGTAAGGAATATTGAAAAGCTGATTAAAAAACTGGATCGCTCCTTTACAATACTTAAGGAATTGGCTAACCAGATCCGCCACAATGCCAAGAAGTGTGAGAGTGGCAAAGCATGGTCTGTTTTTTACGGAGTACTTGCCACTGGCGCTTGTGCAGGTGCGATCTGTACGGGGAATAAAGGGGTGTACACTACTGTTTGCGGTGTCAGTATTGGTACAATCTATTTCTCCTGCAACACCTATAAAACGAATGACGAGACTCTGGAAAAGTCTGCGCGTCTGCGACAAGACGCAAAGGACTGGCGAATGGAAATCGCAATATACCGCTATAACCTCGATATTGTCAAGGTGAAGCTGGAAATGTATCCTGAAGACACCGATCGCATTCCGGAAATTTTAGTCCCAATCAGTTTTTCTCTTTTGGTAGTGTTGTGTTTAATAGGTACCGTCATTTACAAATGCATTTAAGACAACTAAAGCTTAGATTTGTCTCTCACCAAAAGGCCGCGGCACAAAAGCTCAGCTGAAAGCTCCGTAAGGGTAGGACGAAATGTTTTCTGGCATTTCTCGGAAAACGCACCGTGCATGATAATAATATTGGTAAATACATGTCATGTACATACAGACTACTATCGGCACCAGATCGTTTTCCCGAAGGAGGAAATAACAATCATCATAGATTCAATTTAGATCTGCTATGGAAAGAGGCCGCGAAGATGTACAAGGTGATCGGCAAGTACAATGTCATTCTTGAGCTTATCCAGTTGAGAGAAGAAAACAAATGACACATTATGAAGGCTTCAATTCAATGACCTTTCTAACCATTAAAATGTTTAAAAGTGTATACCCCTTTTTCAGAGGATTTTAGACTGACCTAATATACGTTTGGTTTCACAAACTTGTCACACGCAATAATAGACCCAGGGTAAAGATTCACAAACCAGTTATGTCACTGAGTTATAAAGTCGAAAGACAAGTGATACGTTCACCTCCGGGGTTCACCTTCAAGAGTCAAATACAAAATGTGTCACCTATGGGGATAGAAATCATAGTTATATTCCACGTGTTAAATAAAGAATTGTAACATTAGGGTATTAATTCATTTTACTACTTCCCTCACAGTTACGCTGCTTTTGCTTTACAGTTTAAAAATGATACGACACACCCTTAAACAATTAATTAATAACGAATTTTGAGTCTTGCAACTTTTAAATTTTAAAATGCATCCGACATTAGACTACTTGTTCATTAGTTTCTTCATCTATTTACTGTAAGAGATGGTGTTCACTAATAAATATTGCATTGCTTATTGTTAGAGACCTTTCTAACGTCGTGTTCCCTCAAAATCGATAACATATTGACAATCAGTGACACATCGGTGTCTCTTCCGAGCAGTACAGATAGGATTTTCGGTTGTATTTACCGAAACTTGACATATGCAAGGTCGTTTTCCGCGAAACCCGTCACTGTATACTGACTGCTTGAATGACAAGAGATGTAACGGGGGTTTTCCCACGGTTATTCCCCTGCTTACTTTCCGTTTCACATGCCTTTCAAATAACACAACGTGACAAAACAAATTTCAGTGGAAAATTTTTCTGCAGCCTCAAAAGCGACATCATTTTTACCCTATTTTTCATTCAGGCATATGAATTCATCTAACCTAAAAACACCCACCTCATTTTCCTCTTAGCAGAGGGGGAAGAACGCAAATAGTACGGGAAGGGAGGGATGGCAAAAAAAAAAAGGACACTTGACTTACGGCCGGTCACGTTTGAAAACTGCACTACTTTAGTAATAAGCAACAATCGAGCAGGTAAAGAACCTTCTAAAGGAGCTTTCACCCCTCCATTCTAAATTGGAAAATATGTTCACAACGTTTAATGAACTAAAAGTTTCAGTCAGAATTACTTTTTTAAAAATCTTTCGTCTTTTGCTACTATTATTGTAATTAATTGTTCTTTTCTGTTCTACATAAACATCAATCTATAAAGTCTGCAACATAGAATCAGTCAAGGCATATTGACAGAAATGAATATGAAGAATTGGGAGAAGTACCCTCCTGTCCCTTCCTCCTCTGCTGGAGCTAATAAAAAGGCAAATGTTTCGTGAAGGTTCGGCACATGAAAAGTCCGGCGTCGGCTTTTCCGCGAAAAATCGATATGAAGTGGCGTGACCATGTGATCAATGATGGGCTGGCTCACAAATGGAAATTAATCCTGCAAAGAGGTAAGATACGCCATTCTTCTAAGGAACTGCGGTTGTCGTTGTACTGCACAAGCCACGCTTGAGCTCCCGATTTCTTTCGATTCTTGCCGTGACTTCACCGTTTTAAAGTCTTTGCCTCCAGTACAAGTTATTCAAACAAGAATAACTTGGTGCAAACCATCATTTAAGATGCTGATAGCCGATTTGTTTTTACGATACCGGAAGCGTTTCCGAGTTGCGATTTTCGCTTTGTTACTCATCACTCCAAGTCAGTCCTCGAAGGCACCAAATGGATGTCCAGAGGTTGCCACCGCCTTGGCGAAAAACCCGAGCTTGGATGTCCTAGTAAAAGAGCCTAACTTCCTGCCAAACGCAGTGAAATGTCTTCAGGAAACCATAAGATTAATTGGAGAAACCGACTGGAAAACAGTTCAAGCAATGATGCCACCGGAGATTACAAAATTTATCCACAATATCGGCCTGCACATAATGGGTAACGCCAAAGCGTATGCTACAGGAGCGGGGTTGGTTTTTATGTCAGTGTATCTCTGCTACAAGGGCGCTGAACTATCGGTGGAGGCAAAAGATCTCGCACTGAAACACGAGAAGTTTCAGGAGGAGTTCGACTTGCTAGAACAAGAACTGATTCAAATCAGATCTTTCATAGCCACGGACATTGTGCTACAATGGAAAACTGGTAATACTGTTCAAATGGTAAAGAATATTGAAAAGCTGATTGAAAAACTGGATCGCTCCTTTACAATACTTAAGGAATTGGCTAACCAGATCCGCCACAATGCCAAGAAGTGTGAGAGTGGTAAAGCATGGTCTGTTTTTTACGGAGTACTTGCCACTGGCGCTTGTGCAGGTGCGATCTGTACGGGGAATTCAGGGGTGTACACTACTGTTTGCGGTGTCAGTATTGGTACAATCTGTTTCTCCTGCAACACCTATACAACGAATGACGAGACTCTGGAAAAGTCTGCGCGTCTGCGACAAGACGCAAAGGACTGGCGAATGGAAATCGCAAAGTACCGCGCTAACCTCGATATTGTCAAGATGAAGCTGGAAATGTATTAAGCATTCCTGAGGTGAGACTAGTAGAAGATTTGGAAGAATAAAAACATGACTTTTAAACTCACTGGACAATAACAAAATTCAGACAATTTTAATCCCAGACTTTTAGGCTCCTTCAGGTAATGTAGCCTTCATTAAAAACCGCCATGAAAAGGAAATAATTTTCTGAATCACAAATAATGTAAATAATTGTGTTTAGTTACTGACCATTCTCTGAGTGATCTGAGCCTTCAAAGGCCATCTCATCTGAACGTAATTCTCTTCCAGTGCTGCCAAAAATTGGAAAATGATAAGACCCTGGGGATGAGGTTGTTTTTTTTTAAAGGCATGATTAAAAAAGCAATGTCCTTTCCATCCTCGGAGACCCAGGGGCGGTCAGTTGGGTCAGGAAAAACGGCGGCGAAAGTTTACAAGAACGGGCGAGAGAGCCCCTGTGCAGTACCGCAAATGGACTCGCCTGGACTCGAGTTAGACGGTCATGGTGTCATTTTCATTCTTATTACAAAAAGTAGTAAAAGTAAAATTTTGCTTCTCAAATAAATACATAAATTATAAGTAAATGAAAAATACATGCAAGACTTTGTTCAATCAAATAAAAGCAAACAAGAAATAAACTTAAACACACAAATTTTAAAACATCGTTAAATCAAAGAAACAAACTGTACCTGTTTGGCCTGTGTAGAATAGCTTTCATCAAGAATTTTCAGTGAAAATGGCGCCCAAAAAACCAAAGAAATTCCATAAACAAATCGACACGAAAAATGCACCAATAACAGACTGTGGACGTATCGTAGGACTGGCCCTTTCGTAAACACCAGAGTACTTCTAGGCTTGTTCATGCAACTCTGCAAGTTTACAATACCTGTTTTGTCACTGAGGAGGAAAATTTAACAACAAACTTACAAACTTTAAAGGGCGAAGAAATTTACTCCTTCACGTGCGTGACAAGCATCCAAGATCCTTTTCAGGCACGCGCATGCGCCACGCACACGATTTCGTATGAACAAGCCTTGAAAAAACTCTGGTGTTTACGAATTGACCTTTGATTAGTCCAGTCTAATTTCTTAGTGCATTATTCGAATCGTTTTGTTTTGCTAAAATGCTAAATTGTGGGGTAAAACTTCCGTATAACCTCATACATTTATTATGCATTCCACTCTATTCAAATCAACTATTTGTACAAAAGTAAACCCCTTCGTATATTAAGATCACAAAAGCAGTGCGATAGATATTGCTCTCAAATTGTATTTTTGTGCCCAATCACAGAAAAGCGTTCAGATGAGTCGTGGAATTGGTCTGTTAAGAGCAGTATCCCAGGGGCTCTCTCGTTCGTTCTTGAAAATTTTCGCCGCCCTCTTTTCCAGACCCGACTAACCGCCCCTGGGACTCCGAGGATATGTCCTTTCCAGAACGGCCCCGTTGCCACCAAATTCCTCGGTACACCTCATTATGTCAAACTAAATGAACCCTTTTTCTAGGACAAACGTACAAGTTTTACGTATATCAGTTATCCTAGACAATACTCTCTAAAGGCTTACGCCCCTACTTGACTCCTTTAGGTGACCCATAGCTTCTACGAGACCAAAACCCCAGCAATGCACAACCTGTTGTTCAATTCTCGCAATAGAAGAAGGGAATAAAAAATATGGCTTTTACACCAGTAAATATTTAAATAGTCTTGTCTTGTCTAGGAGGACATTTTTTGTATCAAACACAAATTTAGCACAAATGAAAACACGGTATTACTAGAGCCTTACAAAAAGTAACTCTTTCAGTTTTGTTAAAGACAAGTTTTCATTTCATTTGGTGTATGAAAGGGGCGGGGATGCTCGTCGTCTCGCTTAGGGGTGTAAATTTCGGATTTTGGTCTCACTTAGTGTGTTCTGGGCAAAATGCCACCATATTTAGCCGTGAAGGTCTCGTTTAGGGTTGCACGCGAAGAAATATAAAATATATATATATATATATTGTCTGTGTTTTAACATGGTCTCTTTTAGGGGTCAAAAAAAGCTTAGGCCACGCCCAGATCGGCGTCCTTTAGGGGTTTAATTCAAAATTTCCGACAAGCATCCCTACCCCTTTTATATGTGGAGTCCCCCCCCCGGGCTTTTAGCCTAACTAGAAGTCCTGCAAATGAGTATGTACAGGTTATTGTAGATATCGCAATGGTCACGGTGCATTTACACGTATTTGACGAGAAGTATTCATGATAAGTTCAGTAGCAGAACTACGTACAATTATTTGGAACCACTTAATAATAGCTGGTAATGACAGTTTTGTTTAACAAAGTAGGACTGAGAGTTACCTTGTATATATATATCAATTACCAAATATTATGTATAAGAGGCTGGCTAAATAATTTACGTTTAATATGTTTATGCATTGTCTCGTTTTAACATGACCATGTCTTGTGATTTGCTAAATAAAGCTCACGCTGAGCGATTAGCAGCAAAGCGAAAAACTTGCCGCTCACCAAAGCATTTCACGCGCTTGACGTAAGCTGCAACAACCAATAGCACACCCGCAAACATACCACGTAACTGCGGCGCTGTTGATGCCCAAGAGCAATGACTGGTGCATTAGTGGAGGAAAGTTTGTCAAGCGAGTTTGTCTTTGACGAATCCGTGTCTAAAGTCGGCGAGGTTTTGGGTCGAATTGACGAGCGGGTGTCTGTAGTTGGAAGAAAGTTCGACCGCATGAAACGCTTTCTACAGAGTAAACCACGGCACGTTTGGCTTCGATGTTTTCTGATTGTGGAGCGTGGTTGTACATTACGAACAGCGGCAAATAAAACCAAGGCCAAATCTCTTAATTGGCAGATAAGTTCACAATTTATTCACCTATTCGTCGGCAAATGTAGTTTACCTGCATACCAAAGTAAACGTGAATAGCCAAGGCGGTAAAACTTGAGTTCAAGAACAGGTATACAACTTACAACCAAGTGGGAACGAAAAGTAAGACGGGTACACGATACTGATCGAAAAAACGACACGAGGATAATACAAGAGAGGTACTAAAATGAGAAATACAGAAGATACTTAGTATCTCAGTGAATGGTTTACTTAGTAACTGTAACAGTAAATTTAAGTAACTTATGACTTACATCTATTCTAGTTAGCCCGTGGCGTACTTTCATTTCGTAATTAAAAAATATAGGGTGCTCAGATTCAAATTGATCGACTGATTACGTTATTTGACTGATTAAGTACTGGTGGTATGGGACAGACGTGTATTAGGCGTGTGCTTAAGAAGTCAAGCACAGTTAACATTCTGAGCAGTCATGCGCACTTTTTTCCTATATTCTAAATTATCCCTTTCAAATTAAGAGAAAAATAATGATATCAGGTGAAGGGAAAACGGAGTGAGCACAAACAAGGAAAGAGAGAGAGAGAGAGAAGAAAAAAAGCAAGACTTGGATAACATAAGTCCGTGAAATAACTTGAGGAGGGCACATATTAGTAGACTTGCTTTTAAGTCGATATCATTAGCCCTGGCCTGAGGAAAAGGCTACAATGGTTTAACTGCTTTTGGCTGTGGTTTGTGGTGTGTGCGAACAAAGAAACCTCTTGAAAATCAACCTCCTGGGATGAAACAATAATTTGAAGGGCAAAGCAAGCATATTCGGGGAGAGGGAAGGGAAGAGATGTTTAAACCTTAGACCTCTAACCGCGCAGGATTAGCTAAGTCGGTAGAGCACTTGACTGCAGAGCGGGAGGTCGCGGGTTCGATTCCCGGGGTCGGAACGATACTTAGGGTCTTAAAACAACTGAGAAATGAAGGTACTCCCTTGCTCTGCAAATGGCTAGACCCTCGCGTGACTCGGATGACCACGTCAAATGGCCGTCCCGTCTCCAGTAGGAGACTTAAAAATATTGTCCTTAATCAGTACTTTCGTGCTAAATTCATTGACACTCAAAGAGAGGGCTTTTTTTTTTGTCAACCATTTTTCTCGAGAAGTAACCTTTCATTTTCCCTATAAAAAATTACCCCTTGCACAAGGTTTGGCTAAACCATTAGAGGCTTTTGCCAAGCTTTTACTGACATGGCTCACTGAGTGATTTGCAAAGAGTATCAAAGGCCAATGTTTTTCCCACTATTTTCCCTGACTCATCTGGTGAAATCCATTTCCTCTTACAACGCTCCTGTAAGCAAAGTGAACCTTTTTGTGTGGCTGCCTCTCGTTTAGCCCATTTTAGATTTTGAGGGTACCCTCCACACTGAAAGTTTTTCCCCTTACATAAATTGCAAACGATGTTCAGCGTCTTTGAGTTATTAATGACATGATAAACCATCCACTAGGACTACCAAAATACTGGTAATCCCGTATAACTAAAACCAGCTAAGGGTGATCATCATAGTTTGACCGACTTGTCAGTCAAGCAACTCGCAGCTTGATGAAGGGCTTGAGTAACTATGCTGGGAGGAAGTGACATAATGGAATATCAACAGTTTATAATCTTCTACACCTATCACCAGATTTGTAAACCTTTAACTGGCTTACAAAGAATCTTCCAGTCCTGGTCAGCCGTTGACAACATAAACAAGACTCGGGAAAAGCCAAACCTGTAAAAGAGTAAAATAGTTTGAAGAAAACTCCGTCTTCGGGGAAGTCTCTTATTAGTACTCAATCAATTTTTAGGGGAGTGGGAGGGGAAATAGGATGACGTGGGGGTGGGCGCTCATTTGAGTTTGAGTGAGAGTGGGAGGGAGGTGGGGTGGGGTGGGCGCTTATTAACTTTTCCTGCCTTAAGGATGGGCGCTTATTCGAATAAATATGGTAATCTGTTCTTTCGAGAAATTTTGTGGCAAAGTTGTAGAGGTTGGTTTTAACTGTTGTTCCTGAACAGATGAAATCTTTCATATTAAACATTTCAATGATAGCAGCAGGGCGGTTTTATTTCCTGCGGGGCTGTTTACTATACTGTAGAAGTGGATGTTTCTGCTCTTGAGTAGGTGAATGAAGCTCTAAATTTGGACTTTTCAGAGTAGTACTGTACCTTCCC